CGGCTAGGCCGAAGATATGAAAAAGATGGATACTTAAATAAAATAAAATGCATTTATTTTCTAAAAGTTATTACCATTTTATTGCAAATCAGCCAAATAATGATAAAAATGCTGGATTAATATATTAATTTATAGGCGTGTCTCCATTTATTCTAATTTAATAGGGTACTGCAAAATTAAATAGATTTGGTTTGTTTGGTCGCTTAGTCTTCCTACACTGAGCTCATCATTTCAACTACTGTGGCTGGTGAGTCCGTGTTCCGTGGTTTGCTAATTTTTTTATTTTGCCATGTTTTGATCTGGTATTTGTTGTTCTTCAAGTCAAACGTCTTATTTTTTATTTTTTATTGAGAACTTCGTCATAAGTTATTTCTTCCTTGTAGTTTTTACTTGCTGGCAATTGCCGTTTTCAAGTGCCGTCGGTTTTATCAATATTTTATTTGGCTTTTGCCTATTCTTGAGGTTGAGATATCTAAATGAGTAATTCGTTAACAGCGAAAGTAGCTCAGCTCAGTGTGAAGTGTGCTGATACAAAAAATAAGGGATCTTTTAACGGCGCTCCCTGCAATCCTAGTAACACACAGGAAGAAAAGCCCAAAGGTAACCCATGGAAGCCTAGTAGGTCATTTTATTATTTTTGAACGCTACAGTTTCATCGGTGTCTTTGCCAGATCAAAATGCCCTTGAGGAAGAGGCCTGGCCAGAGCCTTCAGCTCAGTCGGAGCGTCGCGCAACCGGTCAGCGGCAATTAGAGGAGAAGCCTAAAAACAACAGTAAGCCCGATTTTCCTTAATTTTTTCAGAAAAAATAAAGTGGCAAAATTGTGAAAGTGTTGCAACGAATTTTACTGCATCAAGAGGAAGAGGACCTTATTCGGCTGGTACACCACAAGTATCTTCCCATACTTTACCCACTATGCGCCCAATGAAGAAAGGTAATATTCTGCTCATCTGCCATTATCATACAATTTCCCATAATAATCGCCGTTATTCTTTAGGATCGGCTTACCTTAGGACTCGTACGTCTGAAGAATCTATCAGAAATCGGGGAAGTATGAATGGTTATTACTCTAGACCTGGCGGTAGAGGGTTTAATAGAGGGCATGGCGACGATTATCACTATGTCCACACTTGTGCTAACAAAAACGTAGGTGAAAGTACATCAAATTTCGAGGATAAAGGAATCGCTGATAAATCGCCTAAAGGCGATTCTGAGCTCTGTACTAGCGTTGAGGTGTCCTCGTCA